CCGACGTCCCAGCACCACCAGCACTAGTAGGGATGAAAACGGATCAGGATACGAACCGATATCACTAATATTACATTTATTTTTATATTTCTGTCCGAATTCAGATTCGAATACGGATAGTGTCAACCATATCGGATATGATACGATTGGATATCGACATCATAAATATGTGATTTGAGTATTCGGATACGGATACGGTATCGGATGTTGAATATCCGGACTCGGATACGAACAGATCTGAACCCCTTTAAACAAATTCGGTCTCGAATACGGTCGGAAAATATCCGTAACGTTTTCATCCCTAACCACTAGTGAAGCTCGCTAGATTTCAGCGTCGTCACCGTAGCTAGCGGCGGCCTAGCCCTGTGCGTATAGCGGCTGCAGAATAACGGTTGGGAGCACGTCAAGGTCCCATTTTCCACTCCGACGAGCTGCTCATACCTAATTGAATTCAGTTGCCTTTCTCTCTTTGCTTTCTTCCCAGCCAAACGACTTCCAATAGAGTAGTATATTTGCCTTTTCCTTGAAAGGAACTTCATACGCCTTGTAGTTGTAGTCGGCGTAAAAATATCTGTCTGGTAATATAATATCCGCGAAGCTCATGGCCACGAATCGGCCAAGTAATCTCCCTGCATTTTCTGCAACCAAAAACTCATCAAGCACTAGTGAATAGATTCTTGGCAGCATCAGTCACCACACACATGTAAAAAGCCTGCACTAACGTTACATCACGAGACCATTTCTCTACACGCTTGTTGGGATTGTTGGCACACAACACAACTGACCTTTCTCTTTCTCATCTCATCGGTTTCTTTGGAGATGGGATTTGGGGATAAAGAAATGATGGAACTCGAGGGGAGGACGCCGCTGTCTTGGCACCAAAAAAAAAAAAGAGAAGAAATTGGGAGTTGCCTCCAGGTTGTCATCGTTATCGACCTCTGGCTGACGTAGAGAGGGGCACGCATTTGACTAGCGCTAAAACCTCCGGTCGTCATAGACTTCATGATTGGATATGGGCATTAGCGTTAACTTCTTTATATTAAATTATGTATATTATATATTTTATATATATACGAGTCAATTCAAAGATGCTTGGATGAGTATTGAATAACCTGTTCCACTGATCATTAATCTGTTGGACATCTGTTTGATGCGAGGGAAGACATGCTAAAAACCGTGTGAGGCTGTGAGGCTGAAGGGTGCTTCTCTTCTGAATTTGTTAGACGTTGGGACAGTTTGTTTACCATTCAGAGATGTTATTAAGAGCAGGCCAAGCCCGTCCACCATTATGTTGGGCCAAAGCCTTTTCTGTTCCTGAGACGGACTGGGTCAGAGTCGGTCTAGATCCTGCTCAGTGAAAACACATGGGCCGAGAGGCAAACCCCATTGAGCCCAAATAATGCGTGTCTAGTAAGACAGCAAGAACAGAGCCCACCTTTCTAAAAAAAAAAGCAAGGCAGAGCCCATAGGTGGTTGACTGATTGACTCATCTCCGGTTGGGCTCTTCCTTAAAAAAAAACTCGGCCAGGGCAGGAGGAGATTTGATTACAAGAGCGGACAGGCGGCGTGCCGCACGACCCGCTCCTTTGGATTTTGCGTCACTCCCACCCAGTTCGCTCGCCCCCACACGGGCCCACACCACCTGCTGCTCTCCGCGCCTGCTCTATGCCGCACGACCCGCTCGCTCAGATTCCGCGGCACTCGAACGACTCGCGTCCACTCACGCCGCCCGCTCCTACGTACGCGGATTTTTTAATCTTTTTTATTCAATATTTTAATAATAATTTCTTCTATTTTTTCAGATTTAATCTTTTGGTCTCGTCAGCGGCGCTGCCACGATCAAATAATTTGTCGCGCCACATGCATTGGCACGAGAGTGGCATGACAAGACAAAACTTTTGAAAAATCATAACTGTTTGATACGACATTGAATGAAGAAGAAATTTATATGAAAATTATAGCTCTTGATAAGATCTACGACATTGTAGTTTTGACTTTTTTCATTTAAGAACGTTAAGATGCTCAAAAACTAAAATAAAAGTTCAGAGCATAATAACCGCGTACTAGTGCTAGTCGCGTTAGAAAAATGATATCTTTTTTTTTATGTTCTCAAATAAATATACTTTTTATATGAAAGTTGTAGCTCTCAATGAGATCTACAACTTTGTAGTTTTCGATTTTTACATTTAAGATCGTTAAGATACACAAAAAAATAATATAAAATTTTAGTAACATAATAATCGCGTACTGGTATTTGTCGAATTAGAAAAATAATAACGTTTTTGTGTTGTGTTAAATGAATGTACTTTTTACATTAAAGTTGGAGCTCTCAATAAGATTTATAACTTTCATTTTAAAAATATTTTTATGTGACATCAAATAAGAAATATATAATTTTTCTAAAAAAATAAGCTTTGATACACGATTAATATGGTGCTAAAATATTATATTAGTTTTTCGAGTATGTTAACGACCTCAAATATCAAAACTCAAAACTATAAATTTGTAGGTATCACTAAGGGCTATAACTTTGATATTAAATTATCTTTATTTGACACATACAAAAAGGATATTATTTTTCTAATTAGACAAACTATAGTACGTGATTATTATGCTGCTGAAATTTTATATTATTTTTTCGTGCATTTTATCGATCTCAAATGTAAAAACCGAAAACTACAAAAATAGATCCTATTGAGAGCTACAACTTTCATGTAAAAAGTATTTTTATTTGACAACATACAAAAAAGATATTATTTTTCTAACGCAACAAGCACTAGTACGCGGTTATTATGCTCCTGAAATTTTATATTTTTTTTAAGCATCTTAACGTCCTCAAAAGAAAAATGTCAAAACTATAAAGTTGTAGATCTCATCGAGAGCTACAATTTTATATAAATTTTATCTTCATCCGACGTCATATCAAAGAGCTACAATGTTTCAAAGGTTTTATCTTATCACGCCACTCCCGGTGGCGCGATAGATCAATACTGTCAGGGTGTGACAGCATTTTCCACGTCGGAAACGCCGCCTAACGTGGTGCATGTTGCCGTGCCAAAACATATGGCACGACAACGTTTTTGGTCGCGCCACGACAAAAAATGGTTAGATCCGGAAAAAAAATTGGAGCAATTATTATTGAAATATTGAATAAAAAAGATTACAAAATACAAATTCTCCCACACGGGCCCACCCCGTCCGAACATTACCATTGAGAAAACAGGCGACACCAAGGCGAGACATCATAAGACGAAAAGAGAGATGCAATACCGATCTACTTTTTAAACATCCAAATGAAACATTTACAACATACGTTCGAAATAGTTGAAACACTTGCATCATACGTCTGAAGCACTTGTAAAAACAGCTGAAAACACTTAAAAAGCAATTGCAAAATATATGCAATATCTAGACAAAACAAAAACAACATATGTGTGAAAACACATGCAACATCCAATAAACACACTTGCAACATATGTCTGAAAAAAAATAGATGAAACATTTAGAACAGATGTTTGCAATATAAGTATACAACCATTGCAACATATGCAACGTCCCGATTTACTTTCGCAACATCCACATGAAATACTTGCAACATACCTCTGAAATAATTGAAACACTTGAAATATACGCTTGCAACTTGTCAGGCGTGGCACTCTAGTGGACGACGACCACCGTGTCAGGCGAGCCTCAAGGCAGCCGAGCAGGAGGCAGGGGGCAGATGAGGGCTAGGGTGTCGTCATGGAGGAGAATGGCGGTATAGCAGCAGCGTTTGGATGAAGTCCTTCACCTGCCCTGCGTCGAAGCGGTGCATCCGGATCCAGGCGCAGGCGCCGCCCCGACGGCGGGGCCCGGCGCCATGGCGTCCCACACGGGAAGCGTCGGCTAGCATCCAGCAGCTCGCGTGGGTTCGGGGCGGGCTGGGCTTCCTCAGGAAGCGGTGCATGTGCGGGTCCACCTCGGGGGTGCCCGTCGGGAGCGCCGCAGAGATCGACGTCAGGCTGCGGCGGTGGTTGAAGGCTTCCTGCACAGAGCGCAGGACCAGGAGGTGGTCGACGCCGTCCGCGCGCACCACTGCCTCCAGGGCTCGTGACGGCGCGAGAAACGCGGACCAGCTCCAGCGGCTCGCCGGCGAGCGTGGGGTGCGGGCGTGTCATCGGGTCCGGACCTCGGCTGAGTGGGGGGAGAGACGCCATCGGCGAGCGATGCTTCGACTGCTGGACTTAGGGAGAGTGGGATTTGACTGGATCTAACAAAAGAGCCGGCTTGCGGTGGGATATTTTTTTTACCCAAGTACCTGACGGGAATATACGATACATGGACACCGTCGCGTCCGGTGTCTGGACACGGGACGGACGACCACGGTGGAGCAATATCGTTAAGAGAGGAGTATGGAAAAGGCCTAAGGGGATTTGAGGCATTTCTCCTCCAAATTACTGCAGAAATCGACCGAGTTGAGGTAGCTGGTTCATGTACTTGTTTGCAGTTAGCATCAGGTGCTGCTCCCGGTTTTAATCGGGCAAGACAACGAGGAGGAATGTGCGGCTTTGGTGCAGTACCCGTCCCCTGAACAACTGATAGCTCCATCAGAAGGTGGAGAGGCTGGTGCTGAACCCACGCAATTCTAATGCACGACAAACTGAACGCGAAGGTGAAGATGAACAAAGGAGAGGAAGTCTCCTAGATCGGCAGTACAGATTTGCACAGATCGCCCATAATACGCTCGCGATCAGGCGATCGGATCAGGAGTTTCACACTTTGTTTGCACGACATTGACGCAGTCGGCCAGCAATAGCATACCCTGCACATGTATACTGCATCCACTGCGGCATCATGTTCTCACCAAAACTGTAGTGTCGCAGACGAAATACTGAGATGTTTGGACCGATCAGATAACCCAGCACGCGGCAAGATTGATTTCCAGTAACCGAATAACCCAATACCATCACGCTAATCTCCCTTGATTATTATAGTAGTTAAAAGAAGCCGTGTCATCAGCTTCAGAGCGAGAGGGCGACGAGGATGGCCTGGCGGCAGCGGGCGCGCGCCGTCTCGACGCGCTCCTTGACGGTCTCCTCCTTCACGGCGGCCTTGACCATCTCCACGTCCATCTCCACGAGGCGGAGCACGCGGAAGAGCTCCGTGACGACGCGCTCCTCCACGCCGCCTTCCGCCACCAGGACCTCGGCCTCCTCGCGGGCGCGCTCCGTCACCACGCCGGCTACGGTGCCCAGCAGCTGCGCGGACCCGTACCGCCCGCGCGCCAGCAGGCCCTCCAGCTTCTCCAGGAAGTCGGCGATGGCCCACCCCCGGGGCTTCTCCAGGGGCACCGCCTTGGTGCGCTTCCACCCGATCTCGTAGTTGGGCGGCTCCTCCTGCGTCAGCGCCGTCCGCGGCCGGCGGCCCGGGGAGATGGCGGATGGCAGCCGCCGAGCCACCGCGAAGGAGGTGGTCACCGTCGCCGACGCCGGGGTCTCCTCGTCGGGGATGCTGTTCGGGTTTCTGCCGTTCGCCTCGTCCGGAGTGGCGGCGCCGCCGCCGTTGGGCTCTACTTGCGGTACTACTTGCTGTAGTGCTCCGCTGTTGGCCTCTTCCTGGCTGGGTTTCGGCGTCGAGGTTGCCGGTTTGGGCGCGGCAGTGCAGCGTACGGTGGTGGTGCTCGTGGTGGGAGCAGCGGGGAGGTGGGGTCTGCGGGCGGAGAGGAGGGGCTGGGGAGGAAGGAGAGGCCTGAGGAAGGAGGCCGCCATGACGGATGACGGGATGAGTGGTCTGCTCGGACGACACAAGCGGATGGCCGTGCGATTTGGAGATAAGAAAATGGGCTCTGTCGCCGCGCGGAAAGAGACGTCCATAGCCTTTTTTTCGTGCTGCTAGATATCTAACGCGGCCTGTCTGCGTGCTGCTAGAGGTAGTAGATATTTCTAGCTTGTCCGGTATTCCCTCTGATCGTTCTTTAATATCAAACCATTTTCAAGTTTGATGAAATTTATATTAAAAATGAAATTTTTAATGTTTATAATACCAGATTATTATTTTATATTATTATAAAATCTATTTAAAAGTGCACTTATGTTGGTATTTTTCTCTGTAAATTTAATTAAAGTTAAAATAATTTGACTTACAACAGAGATAAAACTACACTTGTTTTGGAAAGAGTTAAATGTATCAGCGGCACTCGAACTTGTAAGGGTGTGTCACTTATGTCCACGAACTCTCAAAATGCATTTCTAGATCCCTTATCTTGATTTTTGGTTCACCGTAGGTCCATGCCGCTTTGTCAGCCGTATTTTGCTTACATGGCATGCCAAGTGACAGTCAATTTTACATTTAACCCCTCACGCTCATTTTGCGTCTCCTTTTTTTTTCCACGATTGCACACGAAGCTCGTCGGCCCCTCCTCACAAGTCTTGGTGGCGTGGCTAGGCCATACCCACGGGGGCTCGCCTGTGCCGGCGACAGCACACCATGCGTAGTTGGCGGCCGAGATCACGCCCGTGCGTTACTAGCGGTCATCACGGTCTCGATGTCGTCATCGGCCGCTTTTGCTCCGGCCGCCGCACTTTGCCGGATGCGTTCGATTATTCCACCGGTTGCTCCACCGCTCATTGTCGACATGAACGATGTCGTAGGGGTTAGGCCCACGGACGACGGCGGCGGCTGCCGCGCGCCCGCTGCGGCAAGCTCTTCTTCTTGATTGTGATGTGACTGAGGGTTGGTGGGTATTTGGACCGGCGCAGGGTGCTGCTGAGCTCGCTTTGAGCACGACTGAGCTCCTCCTCGACGAGTTACTCGACGACGCCGAGTTGGGGACGCCCAAGCTAGCGGGTACGCTGCGGACGGCTGCCGCATAACGTCCGGGATGGAGCGGTGGTCACGACGACTGCTGAGCTCCACACGGAGGAGGTCTGTGAGCGGTGGGTGGGGGCGATGGAGGCGCTGCACAAACATGTTAGCGCACATTAGCACGTTCTAGGCTCTCATTGAGTCTAGCTAGTTCGACCGAGAGATGTACATGCATACGTTCCTTGGCTCTCCTTGCATCTAGCTAGCTATGACCATGATGTACATGTATATAGGCATAAGCCTTGATGAAATACAAACGAGTTTTTATCATTCTTCTTTCTCACGCTTACACAATGGACAGGATCTAGGTTCGCACGAAGCCACGGGTCCACGCAGCGGGAGTGGAAGGCGCGTGAACAAAGCGGGCAGGAGGCGGAGCTTCGCCGTTGTCGTGGAACATGCTAGCTCTAGCACAAGGCACGATCATGCGACGACCTAGGCACCGAGGTCGCCGACGAGGCGGCGTGAAACGACACACGGCAGAGCGCAATGAGCCGCTCCGCCTCCGCCTCCGCCGCGCGGCCGCCGCCTCCCTTCTCTCCCTTTGACCGTGCGCCGGTGGCGCCACGGTGCCCCACCGCTGGGCGTGCCATGAGCGGGAGCGGCGGCGCTGCGGTGGCGGCTCGAGCTTGTGCCCGCGTGCATCGGGAGGCGATGTCACGCCCTGCGTAGCGCCGCGGCGCCGAGCTCGTGCTTGCGCGTGACATCTTGCTTATGACAACATGCGCCAACGGGCACCATGTTTGCCGCATGGAGCTGCTCGTTCTCTCCTCGCTGGACGATGACAACATGGCCATGGCATGTCGTTCTCCTCGCCTCTCTTGCCTACCGGCGCTCCTGCTGCGTGAGCGCACCCATACTCAGTCCCCGCGAATCACAGCGTGGCTCTCATCCATGGGTCGCGAGCTGTGGACGTGCCAGTCGAGGGGTCTTGGGTTCGAGCTTAGAGCCTCTTTGGCACGGCTTATACCCGCTTCGGCTTCATTTATTTTACGTAAATTGAGGCACTGTAGCGTAAAGCCGTTTTGTAAGCCGGGGTTAAAATGAACTAAAACCGAAAAAACCCAGTTTTTCTGGCTTCACCGGCTTTAGCTTCACCGGTGAAACCGTTTTGGATGAGCCATGTCAAATGGGCTTTAGTGTTGGAGCTATTTCTGATGGGGTGGGTGGCCAGCCGTGCAGAGGTGCAACCAGCAGGCCCCCCACCCCATGCAGCCGAAATCTTTTTTATCCCACTGTGCGGCCAAGCCCACAGCCCAGCATGCAGCGTGGAAGATTTCAGATCTCCATCCCGTGATTTCTGTCAGAATTGGAAGAAGAGGAAACGTCACGGACGAGAGGAGACTCGCGTCGCATCGCATTCGCAGTTTCGCACCGTACCGAGATGGGCGCCGTGGGCATCGCCGTGAGAGCGTGCGCGCCTCCCGCTCCCGCCGCCGCGGCCGCGCCAGCACCCTCTGGCTCCATGGATGCCGCCCAAGCCCAGCGGAGCTACGGAGGAGCAAGCCTTGGATGACCGGCCGCGTGCTCATTCTCGGCCTCGGGCCTCGACGGCACCGGCCACGTCGGGGGATCCACGGACCACTGCCACCTCGCTCTCCAGGCTCCGCCCCGACCTCGACATGCTCGTCGGAGGCAGCAACCGGTAGGTGCAGCAGTCTAGCCTTTTCTGTTGCGGATGAAATGAATCGATGCCACTTACAGGTGGTGCTGTTCCGTTTTAATTTGATTTGCCACTTTGCTAGGGAGAAAGGCAAATCCGTTGCTGCTAAGCTTTCGGCCAGTCTGAGTTCGTCCAGGTCGACACCGGCGATGCGTGCATGCTGGAGGAAGTGCTGCAGGGTCATATCAGTACGTATGTTTTAACTGATGGTATAGCTTCACATTAGCAGCAAAGGTTCTCACATGGCTTCACTTTATCGGTACTCCATACATTTGTCTGGCCCCCCTTTATCGTTTTGCTGGTTCCGCCACTGCAGCCGTGGGCCATGGCTGGTGTATGGAATGGAAAAGATGAAGACGACAGTCTGGAAGAAAAGAGAGGGTCTATTTTCTTAGAGAAAAGTAAATCTAAGGGGTTAGATGTAAAAATGATTGTCATGTTGGCATGCCACGTAATCAAAATACTGCTGACAAAAATCAAGATAGGGGACCTAAAAATGTATTTTGAGAGTTCGTGGACCTAAATAACACATCCTTACAAGTTCAAGGACCGCTGATGCATTTAACTCTTTTGGAAATCTGGCCAGAACAAGTGCGATGTGTTCATTATAAATTCTTGAGTTATTCAGGCCTCCTATGTACTTGTATACACAATTTCATAAAAAATTTCACAAAATTTTAGATGACGAATTTTGAAAACCCTCCGACAATCCCCTTCAATTTAGGAAAGAGCCTACACAAGTTTTTTTTATGAAAAGGAGCCTACACAAGTTAATGTGCTCTCAAATTATCAAGGCAACCACGGTGGTCATTAGTGCTCTCAGCAAGAGAGCCATATGTATGACCGTAGGAGAGTGAGTGTAACGTTAGAGCAAGGCTAATAATATAGCCTGCTACTAGCTATTTTAGATTTTTTTTTAGATAAGCTTAGAAACGGGGCTCTATCGCCGCGCGAAGAGAGATGTCCATACTCTACAGCCTTTTTTGCGTGCTGCTAGTGCTAGATATCTAAGAGCAACTACTCTTTTTTTTTAAATCATGAGCAACTACTTTTGATTTGAGTGGCTCAATTTTTTCTTTCACTCCAACAACAGCACCCAAATTTAGGTCTTCAAATTCATTCAGTGAGACAATACACAATGGGACCTGCTCGTCATCCTCAGCGTTCTACCATCTGAGCTATCATCTACGGGGAGGGAGCCATAACAGGAGAAGCCGTGGGCCCAAGAAGCCCGGGCCTAGAGGGTGGCGAGCGGGGCGACGACCCTAGGCCCCTGGATGCAAAGGGCCCCTCTCCAAATGTTTATCGTGTAGTTGTATTAGGTTATGCCCAACAGAAATGTGAAGAGTGGCAGGTAATCTAGACGTGTGACAAATGGGTACACTATTCCAGGGCAAGTTTCATCTTCCATCGCATCATCTTCTAGGATTTTCCGATGCAATCTTGGCGAAGCCCCAAATCTGATCCCGCGATCGGCTGCCCACACAACCACACGCCAAGATCCAACATCGAGTCCGCAACAGAGCACCACCGGCATGGGCCGCACGCTGATTGATCCCCAATTCCCAGGCATGCTCATTTCACTCCAAAACCAAGGGATTGAAAGTGATTCTAGGGATTAAATTCTCTACAAGTCAAAATCCTTCTTAATCCCCTCCAATCCCTCCAAATCTCCATGATTTAATGATGAAACGAACAAGGCCTTGGTAATCAACAGATCAGGTAAAGCCGTAAACCCATGATCAGTTTGGTCATGAACTCATTACTCGTCAAGTATGGCACCACTGATCCTTACTCGGGATGTACTATAAACATAATGCAAGAAGGTACGTGTATAGACTATAGCCTATAGGTAGCATAGGTTTTGCCATAGATACACATTACATTGTTATTGTAGCATCATAATTGGTTGATTGGATAATTGTTTAGGGATATATATTATTGATATTTCCAACTTCTTCGCGGTAGCTGCTAAGATTCTAATCTAGTAAATTTATTCAAGCACTAGCACTAATTGTTTCTCTAAATTTCAGCACCTTCATGTCATTTACAAAATATGCATCTGACAGCGAGAGAAACAAAATGAGAATAAACAAGTAGATGAGTTAACAGAATCATAACGACAGTGATAATCCTCAGATAAATAGACAAATAGTTTGGCTACTTTATGTATCTAGAAGAAAGTTATTGGATCAGATTGATATGCATATCATCACAAGTGAATTTCAATGTAGGAATGTT